GAACCTATGGGCCAAATTTTTTTTAAAAAAAAAAAAAAAAAAAAAAAAAAAAGGCAAAGAAAAAACCTAAAGGTGACAGATTGATAGATAGAGCCTTTACTGACCCCGGGGGAAATTCAGGTATCAAGTAGCAACAGCAATAGTTAACAAAATAACACACCAAAATAAAAAAATAAAAAAATTCTAAAAGTGTAAGGCTAAAGTTCACAAATAAATACAAGTATGGAAAATACAAAGAAGTAGAAAAATACGAGTATAAAATTATTTTAAAAATATATAAATAGAGTAACACGTGCCAAGTATAGAGTATACATAAGGTAGATGTGATTACCAGATGTGGTTTGTATCTTTACTTTGTAGCACTATGACTGAATGGGCCTTCATCACACAACTGAATGCCACAAACTGACACCGTACACTTGGACACAAACTGTGACTGAAATTTGATTATTATAGCATCAGCTGGGCGCAAACAATTCATTCTCATGTCTTTATTTGGTAACAAATAAAACAAACAAGCTCTGGTATTTTCCAATGTCAATATTCTGAAACTTAAAAAAAAAGTAACAGAATACTGAGGTCCACATCATATGTGATGCAGTAAATGTGACCATACTTGCCCCCATACTTGAATGTGCAAGGGCATCTATATGTGTGTGTGTTTTTACATAAGTGTGTACATGTGTGGTGGGTGTGGGTTGAGGGTGAGAGTTCAGAGGCGGGGGGTGGGGTGTAACTGTCCACAGACAGGCAGATAAATAATTCATGAACACGGTCTTCAAGTCAGAGCAAGAGCAATTATTGTCAACCATCAGTTTGCTGGGCCCACCTCCTCCTGATTAGTGTCTTGATGGAACGCTGCACACAATTATGGTCTTGACCCAGCCATGGATATCAGTGCTTCCATCCAAATGACATCATGGGACTAGTTAGGCAGAAAAACCCTGCAGTGTGCCTGATAAGTAGGCCAGTGTGTGTATATGTACACAGTGACTCTTATGGCCAAAGAC